AAATGTCCGGCAGTGGCACTCCCTAGAAGAAGGCAGTGGAAGTCGCGACAGCCCTAGTGGAATGAGCCCTGATAGGACCAGGCAATGGCTGTTTGGCGAGTAGGTAACAGAGTTGGATGAGACCTACAATCCACTTAGACAGGTGGTGAGCTGTGATGCGACTGCCTAGCCGTGCCGAAGCATACGAGACGAAAAGCTGCGGGTCTCGTCTGGTTGGATGTGTTCTTTACAGATAGAACAAAAGAGCCCGCTTGACATCTAGAGTGTGTAGTAATCTATCCTCCGCTGATGTAGGGTTTGGCAAGAAGTCTGGGAGGAAGACCTCAGCCTGCAGGTAGAACTCTGACACCACCTTCGGCAGGAAGGAGATGTCCGGTACGAGGCGGACTCTGTCTGGCAAAAATGACAGGTAAGGTGTATCGTGGCGGAAAGCCAATATTTCTCCCACTCGTCTAGCCAAGGTGACAGCAACTAAAAAGGCCATTTTCCGCGCTAGAAGTTTGAGGTCACAGGTTGCGAGCGGCTCAAAGGGCTTCCTTGTGAGGGGGCGGAGAACTAGAGGAAGGTCCTAGGGAACGACAGGAGTTTTAACAGAAGGGTATATATGCAATAAACCTTTTAAAAAACGTTTCGAAAGTGGATGGGAAAACAGCGTGCCGAAAGGGCGGCCAAATAAACTCTTAAGGATGAATGGGAAAGTCCCGAGTCAGCGAGGGACAGGAGGAATTGGAAAACTTTGTCGAGACCCACAGAGGCGGCTCGAGGGGCGCCATCACCTAGGGAGGAACAGAACATTTGCCATTTATAATTGTAGGACTTCCACGTAGTAGGTTTTCTGGCGTTCAATAGAACGTTCGCTACGCGGGTGGAAAAACCGTTGATGTTATTCTCCACGCTGTCAATTTCAATTGTGGTATGTCGTGATGTAGGAGAGGGGAGTTGGACAGGAAGAGGAGGTCCTGAGCCGGAGGGAATTGATGGTATATTCCTGTTGATAATTCGAGGACTGTCGAAAACCATGGTTGCCTCGGCCACCATGGGGTTATCAATATGCAGTCCGCGCCGTCTCTGACTATTTTGCGGACTACTCTCAGAAGTAGAGGTACATGTGGTCCAGACGTCTCGTCGACACTGGGGCTGAAGACGGCTTTTCTCATGGGGTCTTGATAGCTTGCAAGAGGACTGCAGACATGGGGAGTGCAATGGTAGTGGAGGTATCCAGTTGCACAATATCAAAAACAGGATCAGTGACCTGTGGCTGTTGTTGTACGACAGAGAGGTCTAGAGAATGGGCCATTCATTTGACAAGGTCTGCATAAGAAGTGAGATTGTTGGATGGCGATATAGGGAGGTCCTCCGTGACAGCTTGGTTAGGGGACTTGTGGTCAGGGGAGGTTTGGATCTCCGAAGCCTCTGAGTCAGATTCATCGTCTCCAGAGTCAGAGCAGCCCTGTTCTGGTATTTGTACTGGAGTAACTTCCGGTTGACTAGTTAAAACTTTTGGTGGAACGACTTGGGGGGTGGGAGGACCCAGAGGTTCTGTTTGATGGTGGGAAGGATCTTCAGCCGGAGGTCGAGACAGAGATGCTGAAGGTCTCGATTTATAGGGTGACCTTGATCTGTGAGCAGAGTAGGTCGAATAGCAAACCCAGTCGGAATAGCCCGCAGGAGTCATCCAGGGCATGGATGGTGGATAATTGCTGTAGAGGTATCTCAGTTGGCATTGATCCCACGACATCGGTGGTGGTGGGGGATAAAGACTCTGGTGAATCGACGTCTGGACCGATCACGTCTCAGAGACAAAGAAATGTGCCGTCTTTGTGAACGGTCTCTAAAAACTCGCTCATCGATATTGACAGTATCGGTACGCAGACGTGGAGGTTGACGCTGTGCGTTAGAAGGAATGTGTCAATTCCAACCTGTATTGACGTTGGGACCTTCCGAAACCCTCGATGTTGACAATGGAGAGGGAAAGCTCTGCACCCGTGGGGTGACTTAGGAGCTCCACATTCTCGATGTCGGAGTAGGGACGTTCCAGTTGTTGAATAGGAGAGTCCAAAATTTGAATTGTAGATATCGGTGGAGGGGCATACGTCTCCGATATCGATGGAGCGGGGGGCACTATAGGGGCATCACCCAGTGTGGACACCGCTACTTTCACCTTCTTCGCCGCTTTGAGGGGCTTAGAGGAACCCTTTTTTGCAGACTTATCCTTACTTGCCTTGGGCCTCTTCTTCACCAGTGTTGAGGCGGAGGATTGTGCCTTCGATGCCGGAGGCTTCGGCGTCGGTTGAACGATGTCAGAGGCAGGCCTCGATACCAGAGCTGTCGAGGCTGAAGGTCTCTCGGAGTCCATCATTGTGGAAGGATTTAGAGCTGATTCAAGGAGTGCCACTTTGAGGCGCGCAGCTCAGTTTTTTCGGGTTTGGTTTGAAAATCTTGCACAGTGCTGGCAAGAGTCAGGTCTGTGAGACTCTCCCAAACAAAAAATACAGAGGGTGTGGCGGTCAGGGGGTGCAAGTTTACTACCGCAATGTTGACACCTGTTAAAAAAGTCCCACTTTTTCTCCATAGAAAAAGAAAATGGTGGAGAAAGAAGGGGGAGAGGGGGGGTTGAGCCTGAAGGCTAAGCTGAGGTAAACGGAATTTCCCCCCTCAGGAAAAATAAAGTCTCTCTCTCTCTCTTTTTAAATTTTTTTTTTGTTGGTAACAAAGAAGTAAAACGAAAAAGGTAGAGAAGCAAGGAGAAATCCAAAGAGCCGTGAGGCAAATAGCCAAAAATAGCGAACCGATCAGACCGATGGAGAAAAGGTCTTTCCAACACGGCGGTAAGAAAGGAACTGGCGGGATGTCAGCGCCCTCCCCTCTGGGCATGCGTGGTGGGGTTCCTGCGCATGACTGAGGTCTGGGCGTGAAAATCCGTTAAAGAGCTTGCTACTATGCCGATCGATCCAGCGCGTGCGCACTAGATCCCATGGTGTGAAGCCCAGAGACCACGTCGAAGATCAACAAGATTCTCAGG